ACACAACAAAATGGGCAACAGCTTAGAAACAGCAGAAGAGCTGCTAAAGCACATGTGCCTTGATGTATGCGTGTCATCACATGGCAGGGGTGGTGTGTGAGAAGGCAACTGAAGTGAGAGCACTCTCATTTCAGTTGCTTTCTCACTGCACCACCCCTGATATGCACCTAAATGCACATGGCCCGGCTGAGGATGGTCTCTGAACGTCAGCCACTTGTTGCGCATTGCACTGCAGACCTTCGAGTCATTATTCTCAAATATGTCAAATGCTGATAGAGTTAGCGTTGTCACTCAGCACCCTCACACACTCCAAGGTCAAACAACTGAGCTGGGCAGCGGGCTCGCGAAGCTCTTGCAGGCCTGGGCAGCATGGAAGCATGTTGAGGCATCATGCAGAGGTTGCTACATGGTGTGAGCTGCGCATGTAGCAGAAAGCCGCACTTGCCGCAGTTGTTTGCCAGCTGCAGAGAGCTCACACACTCATGTCTCATCTCACTCTTGTTGCATTCTTCTCACATGTGGTCATGTGGTCATGTGGTCATGTGGTCCAGTGCGTATGCTCTCTCTGTGCTGCTGGCCATGCCCGTCCGACTTTTGCCGGGGCGAATTTCTTTGGAGTGCCTGGAAGAGTACTACCAGCTCAAGGTGGAGGAGGATGCGAGGGAAGCTGCGGAACTTCTGCGGAAGCCAGGACCAAGCAGTGAACTCAAATGTGCCAACATGCTGTGAAGCTTTGCCATGAGAGTATATATATATATGTGTGTGTTTGTGCGTGTGTGTGTGTGTGTTGTGTTGTGTGTTTTGTGTGCTTTGTGTGTGTGTGTGTTTTGACAAGTGTGTGCGTGTGCTTCCGTGTGTTCTTGCACCAGTGCTGCGGAGGACCTACTGAAGGCAGTGCGTACTTCTCACCCATCCTGTTTTATCCAGTTGAGCCTGGTCCCATTGACTTTGCCCCCAGGCTGCAAGTGCTCATGACTACTCAATGCATTTTGCAAGCCCTGAATGCCCTGCCATCTGAGGTTCAGGTGTGCCTGGAGCAGTTTCTTCAGTGGCAGAAGGAGAGTGCATCAGAGCTGCTGCAGCAAGAGCTGAGTGAGGATGGGGAGTCGCCCGCAAATGAGGAGCAGCCACCTGAAGAGCAGTTGGGGGATGATGAGGAGGATGGGCCACCTGAGGAGGAGTGGCCTGGGTAGCTGAGGAGGAGTGGCTTAAGGATGGGCCACCTGAGGAGGGGCCTGGGCCACCTGAGGAGGAGTGGCTTGGGGATGGGCCACCTGAAAAGGAGTGGCCTGGGGAGGAGGAGGAGGAGGAGGAGTTGGTCCAGTGGTCCAGTGGTCCAGTGGTCCAGTCCTCCAGTGCGTGGGCGGAGGAGGTGCTGGAGATAGAGGAGGACCAGGAGGACGAGGACGAGGTCACTCAGGTGGTGCCACGAGAAGTGCGACTGGTGCCGGAGAAGAAGGCCATGCCCAAGCCAAACTTTCACTTCCGTGTGTTCTCTGCTGGCCTTGCTGAATTGAAGGACAAAAGGGACTACTCCAGCTTTGACATTGTGATCCCCATGCATGGGTTTCACGACCCCCGGAGGGAAACCTCTCATATGGGGACACACCCAAAGATCCAGCTCAACCTGACCCAGCATGACAAGTTTGCTCCAGTCCTGACACTTTGCTTTCACATGTCCAACATTGTCTAGTGGTCCTGTGCTTCACTGGTCCAACATGCCAACAGTCTCACACACAATGCACTCAGGAAGGGGCTCCGGCTGTGGATCCAGAGTGGCAAGAAGGACCTCAACATTTGCTTCGCATGCACAGCGGGTCGCCACCGCAGTGTGGCAGCTGCCATCATGTTTGGCTGGCTGATTCGTCGTGCTTTGGCTTGCAACTTAGGGGCAATATGTTTTAAGGGCTATTTTGTATGTGGGTGCTAATGCAGGGGTGGTGCAGCAGGAAAGCAACTGAAATGAGACTGCTCTCAGTTCATTTGCCTTCTCACGCACCACCCCTGCCATGTGATGACGTGCAAAGTGCATGTGCTTTAGCTGCTCCTGAGCTGCTTCTAAGCTGCGTTCCATTTCCCAGCATTTGCATTGCCTTCCCCTGAGATTTGCTAAGCTTTGACTCAACTGCGTTTCTCAATTGGTTCGCACATTTTGCCACGGGCTTCCAACTAGACCTCCACTATGTTAGCAGTGTTGTCACAACTCTTTCTCAACTGCTCCCAACTCTCTGTCCACTGTTCTCAGCATGTCCCAAGTGCGCCACAAGCTGGCTCTCAGCTATTTAGCAACAGTCTCAACTATTTCGCAACTGTGCCGCCAAATGTTTCTCAGCTGCGCCACCCACAGTTTGGAATCCCCTTGTTCTCAACTCTTTGTCAAATGTCCTCCGTTCTTTATTGGCTGTTCCCAACTATTTCTCAACTGTGTCTCAACTGTTTTTCACAGTTTCTCAACCTTTTCCCAACTGTTTGCCAAATGGCTTATCGACTGTTCTGGACTCTTTCCCAAATATCTCTCAACTACATTATCAAATGTTTACCTACTCTTTTCCAGCCGTGTCTCAACTCTCTCAACTACGTTGCCAACTGTGTCTCAGCTGTTCTTCAACCATGCCCGCAAATGTTTCCTAGATACCAACTTGTGTTGCTAATCACTGTTTCCCAGCTGCTTTTGTCATTCAAATTGTGGCCCAGTGCTACATGCTTTGAAGCAGCCATGAATGCTGAGGCCAAGGCATTAACTGCAAGGTCACTCACCTGGCCCAGCGCAAATGGTCGGGCTGCAAGGGCAAGTGCTGGGAATGCTGGGAGTGACTTTGGATCAATGGCTCGTTGTGCAGCTTGTTGCCAGTCATTTGTGTGCCTGCCCTGCCCCCCCTCCCCCTCCCCTGCCAACTGAGGCACTTCGACGCCCCATCCCAGCAAGTGCAGCGGATTCTGTTGCAGATGTGGGAGAGTGGCTACACTGATGGCCAGTAAATTTCTGGCTTGAAGAGCTTGCCTTTGTACAGCCCAGTGGTCCTGTGCTCCCTCCAAACACTAATCTGAGAACGCACTGATCCTGTTGAGAGGGGTGGGCAGAACCACGCACAATTTGCCGCCATGCTCATTTTGCAATATGCAAGCCACAAGCCCCAGGGCAAAACAGTGCCATGAGCCCCCTGCAGCTCTACATTTTGCAGAAGTTGTTTGCATCCTGAAGTTAAGATCTGCCAGGCTGACCTCGACTTGCTCCAAGGCGAGGGCGCAAGTGACTGGCCAGGCATTTCAAATACGGCAAGCAGGGTTTGCGCATTTGCCAACAAGCACATGACGCAGATCTTGCCACTGCTCAAACTTGCCAGGCTGGCCTCACATTTTGCCTCAGCTGCAGCTCATCCAGGCTGTGAGCCCAGCGTGTCAATTTCCATTCATTATTCCATGTGGTTGAGCAAATTTGCATGAAAGAACGCAAAGAAATTGGCATGCTGCCTGAGCATGTCATGCACATCATTTGTTTGCGTGAGGGTGTGGGGTGTTTTGCGCAAATAGGCCTGATTGAATATGTTACTAATACTGCCAATATTTACAAGTGTGTATGTGAAGCACATAGGCATTCATTGGTGAGTTGTAAAACTTATTTTTACCATGCTATTGAATTATGTCAAGTGTGCATGAAAATACTGTTTGAGTATGCAAAGTAGAGTGGTATAATGTTTGAACATGAACAGCATATCTACATCTACTGCAAGCTGTGGCAAGCCATGAGAAGTGTGAGAGCTGTTGGAACTATGACCACTGTGCAGGGATATGCAACAAGCACACCATGTGCAATGAGAACATATTTGCCATATGAGGCAGTGATTGAAGCTAGTTCCAAATTTCAATTTGCAAGAGCTGTTAGAATCATGGGGAATGTAAGAAGTGCAAGATATGAGAAGTGCAAAACATGAGACATGTTGGGAACTGCCAACAAATACCATGAAACTTTGCAAAACCACATGATTGCACTTGGTGGAGCAAAAGTGCTGAAAGTTACCCATGAAAAGCTATGCAGCCACATGAGAGAAGACATACACAACTAGGTGACGCAGGCAACTTGAATGCGAGTGAGAAGCCATTCTTGCTAAAGGTTAGAGCTCATGGAAGTAGGTGGGTGTCACATGCAACTACAGGGTTACATGTGGCAGCACAACAAATGATGTTATGACCACAGTGCCCAAGGCAATTGACAGAACTCAGGCAGGGACTAGTGGTGCTGTGGTGGTGGCTGGCTGGCCTGACAAGACTGATTAAGAAGGGGTGGCTGTTGAGAAATTGCTGGGAACATTGTTGATGCAAAATGTTGAGAACATGTTGAGAAAATGTTGAGCAGCTGTTGAGAAGCTGTTGAGAAACTGTTGAGAAACTGTTGAACATGTTGGGAGATGGCTGATAACGTGTTGCGAAACTGTCGAGAACACATAACAAGTTGTTGAGACCACATGAGTAATCTCAACTATTGAGAAACTGCTCCCACACAACAAGCTCCATGCAATTTTTGGCCTGTGCAGCAGGCCAAGGAAAAGACAGGGGGGTTCTTGCAACTGTGCTGGTCACTGGCACACTGCACCAAATGTCCCTTCCCCAAACCCATATGTGAGCACACCAGGGCAGACTCAAGCTCCTAGGGGTGCGTTTGGAAGGACGGGCAATGCGTGTGCAAGGATGGGGGGTACTACTCCAAGACATTGGTCGCACCCCAGTTGCTGCAATAATGTGATAAGGAGTCATTGACACAAGGCTAAGGATTGTTGTTGAAGCAAGGTCAGCTAGGAACGCGTTTCTTCCCTTATCTTTTCGCATCGCGCGTTGCTCTCCACCCACGCGCACGTGCTCTGATAGAGCAGGGCCTGCAGAGGGAGCTTGTCAGTCGCCGTCAGCCTCGCGTCTTGTTTGTGGCTTCACGTCTTGTTTCTCGCGCGCATTGCGAATTGCCCTTGCACCCTTTCACTGCACACACGCAATCTGGCCCTCACTGA